AGAAGTAGACTCCTGCCAAAAATATAGACACTTCGCTTAGGTTGTCAACACCATAATTTAGGTGTCGATACCTCTGCTGCAAGCCTGCAAAGTATCCCACACAACTTTTTAACTTATAGTGTCGATACTTTCTATGTAGTGTCGATACCCAGACTGCGTCGGATATTTTTGGATCTTTTTTGCAATTTCTTTAATGGGAAAATAGCACATCTGGGCCTTTATCTTCCACTCTATGATTTTAGGTCCCTGATGACAACATTGCTTCTTACAATATAGTCCCTAAGCTTTTAAAAATTTGTAACAAATCCCAAAACTTCTATGTTTATGCACTCAAGTCATTCTTTATACAAAAAATAAGAATTATGTAAAATCAATAAAAAGTCACATTCTATCTATCCTAATATGAATGAAGTCAAAACTAAAATAAGAAGTTCAAACATATAAAATATACAATTCATTACTTGCCACATAATAGTTGACAAGTATGGTTATTATTATCATTTGTTTTGTTAAAATCACTGAAATTTAATTAATTGTAATTTTTTAAAATAAGATAATTATAATATTTAAAAATATCAATTTATAAAGTAATTTTAACTTATTAAGTAATAAAAGTTTGTTATTTTATTAAATATTAATTATTATTAACAATTAAATTAAATAAAATTAATATTTCTTAAATAAAATTTTAATAACTTTAACAAAATAATAAATTATCATAATCATATGCGTAGTTGACGAGGTTTAGCTTCAATTATTCAATGGAAAAAAGGGTGGGTTAGGAGAAAAGTAAAGCATTTCATTTCCCAGGAAATGGTCCACCACGTGGAGAGTCAAGCATTTAATTTTCCTGGAAAATGGTCCCCTATGAATATGAAATGAGGAATTGAAAGGAAATTTATGTATAGTGACTTGACTGCCCAATTAGCAAGTTAAGGAAAAGTTTACATTGACTTATAATTAGAGGTTTCCCACCCACCCCCCTCCCCTCTCTCCCCCCATTTTTTCTTTTGGCCTGCACT